AAAGTAGTTTGTTCTCCCTGTGTCACTGTTAGGATACAAACAGCGTGTTAAAGCGCTGTTACCAGACACTAAACCCCTGTAGGTCCCACAGTTGAGAATCATATTTTCACAGCGCATACATTTAGCAAATTATTGCTACAACCCATAAACCGCAGGGAAGACACACGGGTTACTGTTCTGCTTGCACTTTACGGTCAGGACTAATCATTTGTCTGAGAGAAAGGATTTTTTAATGAAAATTGTCGGGGCTCATTTCAAAGAGAGAATGTTATATAATATTATAATTGAATATTCCCTGCCTGGATTCACAGTAGGTTTCTGGACCAAAGTTAATGCTTCCCTTTCCGTGCACTTGGAATGATGAACTACCACTTTATTGAAAATAATCAATGGCCAAACGATACATGAGGAATGTCAATAAACTTAGAATTTGTCCTAGTGATACTATCAACCCCTGGTTTGGCTTCAGCCACTTTTTGCTCTTAACTTTGACTTAGATGTAGCATTTATGCTCTGTTCCCTGAAATAGTTCTAAATTCTTTCATGAATAGAACCCCTGGGTATTGTTATGTACCACCTGTTTTACTAGTAAGTCATGACTAGATTTTTCCTCTGTGCTTGAATCGAGCTTTCAGATTCAGCTCACGCCCACATGCCAAGGCAGCAAGGGCCTGAATCTTGGTTATTCCCGCTTATGGGGGAATTTACTTCCTTGTGGAAATCCAAGAAACATAATTGGGGGACTCGCTAAGCTTGCTGGCTTAATATGTCATATAGACATTTCTGTGGTGTTCTTTCCTGAATTTTCTCTGTTTCTATACAATCCTTAAAAGTGGCTCTAGAAGTTACCAGAAATATTCTGAGGCAGAACTGCGTACCTGGGCTTGCTCTGAAACTGAGCTGTGTCTTCAGCAAAATAAAATCTCTACAGTTCGTAAAGAATGCTCATTGGCATTCCTTTGGTTTTAATGACTAGTGGGTAGCTTTGGAAGTGATAATGTACTTGGCTATATTTATGATAAATAAGCCCTGAGATCATTAAAGGAAAAGCCACACCAATTTGCATTTTCAAGAGCTAGATTCCTGGCTAATGCTTTGCCTCAGAAGCATGGAATGGGCAATAGCTCCCTGGCCTTTTGGGGGACCTCATTTCAAGCCAGCAGATTCAGTGGAGAAATAAATACTGTACATTTTCATTCTAAACCTAGAACGGGTCAGAATGCCATGGTAGGAATTGCTCAGGTAATGTTTTATTCAAATAGATCTGTTATTTCTCCCCTGTCAGTGTCTAAAGTATATTAGGCTCAGTCGAAACCAGTTTGGCTCAGCAGATAGAGCATCAGCCTGTGGACTGAATGGTCCCAGGTTCGATTCCAGTCAAGGGCATGTACCTTGGTTGTGGGCACATCCCCAGTGGGCACAGGGGAGTGTGCAGGAGACAGCTGATTGTTGTTTCTCTCTCATTGATGTTTCTGGGTCTTCATCTCTCTTCTTTCCTTTCTGTAAAAAAAAAAAAATCAATAAAATATACTAAAAAATAATAAAGTACATTAGGCCCAAATCTGTTGTTTATTTTAGATCCCCACCAGGGTCTGTCAATCTAGATTAAACAATCCATGCCACAATGTGAAGAGGCAAGAGTATTAGCTCAATGCCAATAACTGCTTTCTGCGCCTCCTTTTTGATGAAGGCTGTGGCCTTACAACTTTGAAGAAAGCCTTGGCTTTTTAAGCTCAAGTTCTCCTGTGTTTATTTAGTATAATTTCACTCCCGTGTCTGTAGGCCACAGCATGATACACTCATGCTATCCTGGTTAACAATTCCAGCCCGTCCTCTAAGATGCTGTGATTCGGGCTGAATAGAGCCGATTACCTGAAATCTCTTCTGTAAATCCCATGGAGACTTTTGGATCCAACACTCAGGTTGGGCTGGGGACTCACCAGGCTTCAGTCCTATGGACCCCTCTCTTCCCTTCTGTGTTTGCATAGACCCTGCTGGTGACCCAGGAACAGCTGTTCTCCCATCTCTGTGGGGCTCTTTCTTAAGAAGAGAGGGATCTAAAGCAGAGAACAGATTTGGGCCTCATGTACTTTAGACACGGACAAGGGGGAAATAATAGAACTATTTGAGTAAAGCATTACCTCAGCAATTCCTACCATGGCATTCTGACCCATTCAAGGTTTAGAATGGAAATGTTTTTTGGTGTCCTACTGACTTAAACAAGTTTTAAATGCTATCCGTTTGCACCTTTATTTAATAACTCTTCCAAAAATTCTGACACCAATATTGAAGGTGGCTTGACATAGATAATTTTGCCCAGAAATCAGTACATATTGATAGAGGTGGATAGATGTATTTAACTCAAAGGTGTCTTAGAGGTTATCCATTCCTTTCAAAAGGGAGACTCACAGACACCCAGCCAGCTGCAAACTTGCATAGGTTTCATTTTAATAATATGAGTCCTCTCTCTCGCCATACCCACTTTTGGGGTTGAAAAGATTACCACCCATCTAGTTTCACACCCATGCTGAGAGCTAGCCTTGGATCATTTTCTTCTCTTCAAGGAACTAAAATTAGGAATGTGTTCATAAACCTGGTGCCAGCAGCTTCCTCTGTGAACCTAGCAGCGAGGCTTCTCTAAGGCATCTGTAATATCTTGTCAATGAAAATTAAATAAACCTATTAACTTAGCTTGTAACGAGCCCTACTGATGCGATACATAGCATAAAATAATCATCATAATAAAAACAAATGGATAATGCCTTTCACATGTTTATCATTTTTTAGCTTTCACAGTTGCAAGAGAGGCTAATTCATTTACCTACAGTCATAAGATACAGGGCCAGACTTAGAATCTAGGTCTTACAACTAGTAATCCTGTGCCCACTTATTAAAAATAGTGATAATAATAATCTTGAGAATAAAAGCAACCAAAAGAAACCACAGTGACTGACTTCTAGCTCTTTGTGTATCTTTAAATCTGAGTCAAAAAGGGATTTCAACCTATCATAAGTAAACCATCAAAACATACTCATTTATTTGAATGTTTCTAGGGGCTCGTTACTCAGTTTATTAATTATTTTGTAAAGATTTAATGTTATTATTTGGGTAGTTTAAGAAAAAAATGTCATGACAAGGTTTTTAGCTGCTGAACAATAATGGTAAAATACTATAGAAGTAGAAGAGAATTAACATGAAATTCTTTTAGCAATTTAAAAACTGTATTATAAATATTTTTGTTACAAGACTAATGAGTTGATTCTTAATATCACAAATAGAAATAGTTATATGGAGTATTTTCTGTTATCTATTCTACTTTTAAAAGGGGAGATTAACAAGTGAAAATATTCATAACTGTAATTTAAAATAAAATTATTAGATGAATAAACTCCTAAAGATAAATTTGCTTAATATTCCTTTTCAGATTATTTTAATTATACTGAACTATTTACTAATAGATTAAAAAACCCCAGTATACAAACTAAATAAATGAAAAATAAATGTTTTCTGAGGAGTGGTGGTAAAAGGGGGTAAGCTAGTACATGATAGTATGTTGAATTGCTATATTTTTCCAAGATCTTTTGTATACTCAAGTTTTTTCTTGAATAAGGAGATCTTTAGGAGATCCAAAGCAAATTATTCACCTTCTATCCTCATGCTTAAATAATATGTTACATGCAAAATATTATTCTAAAAATGATTATTTTGTCATGAATAAGAAATTTATTTTATGTATACTAATTTTTGAATTTTTTTCTACTAAATCATTGCAAAGACTGTCAACCTTTTAACAGTAGTATTAGTATTAATTTTTCTAACCATGCATGATTCATTTGACCCCTCAGTAGCTGTAGCTTGCTTGCCTTGTTTTTCCCTAAAATTAAAAAAAAAAAAAAAAGGTGTACAAAAAACACAATGAACACTTGCTCTTCATAGCAAGACAGCAGAACAACTTCGTCCTGATAAATGGTTAACATTTTATTTCACACATGGGTGCTGGAGATACAGACATAGATGACTTTCTATGTTGACTGTGCACTTTTGTTAAAGGACTTGTTTTTCCCTGCCTGCTCTTTGAAGAAGCCAATTAGGAGTAATGGGAAACAAGGGGTAGGCAACAAACATATCGCAGTGCAGTGTTACTTCCATCTGTTCGGGAATATTTCAGCCAAAAGTTTATTTTTTTTTTTTGGGGGGGGGGAAGCCATCACACAGTTTCTCACACACAAAACCACAAATACTTTGGCTGCAAATTATTCCGCAGTGTTGTTGCTGTGTTGTTGCCGTGTCTGTTCTCGTGTGTAAAGCTGCCACCCATCCATGCATGTGTTTGCGATTCTCGTCTGTGTGCTTGTTCATGAACTAGCTCCCCCTCCTCCTGGTTCAGGCTAAGTTGACTGGATAGAGCAAGGATTTATGGGTATGACTGTCAGCTGGAGAGCCCCTCCTCATGTCCAAGTCTTCCCTTCAAAGGCAGCTTCTGCTGGAACTTCTCAGGGGGAGGGAGTGCTCAGTGATCAGGAAGCCAGTCTCCTCTATGCTACCTGGCTTTGCGTGTGCCCTGGATGGCTTCATGTTGTTGTATCTCAGTTTCTGTGTTGGAAAAGGAAACTGTTGGTATGAATCACTTTCTTGACTGTGAGACAACTGTCAGTCCTGCTTGACAAATGACCAGGTAGCATCGCAGTCTCTACTCCCACCTCCCCTGAGATGTTTGGTGGGCAAAAAAGAAAAAGAAAAAAGCTGTTTTTAATGTAATGAAATATCAACAATAAAAGAAACTCTCCATTGAAACTGTAATATAATTTAAAATCAACGTTGTTCTAAGATAGCTGGCGTGTGCGATTTTCCCATTTTGCCTTTCAACTGACAGTATACCCATAATTCTTGGTGATTATCGTTTTGTTCTCCAAAGTTAATTTCTTGGCATTTGGTGACTGCACTATCTCTTGTTCTAAATTGTTGTCTTAACTCCATTCCTTAAAAATACAATATCGAAGGCTCATAATATTGAAGATGACTCCAGGATGAACCCCGAGTTTGCAGACCGAATAAAACAGCTCGATAAAGAGGCGTCTTACTATCGCGACGAGTGTGGCAAGGCCCAAGCTGAAGTGGACAGGTTGCTGGAGATCCTCAAGGAGGTGGAGAACGAAAAGAACGACAAGGACAAGAAGATCGCGGAACTGGAGAGGTAAATGTCGCAGTCGCGTTGTGAATGGCCCACAAGCGAGAGAGCATCGGTCGCGTAGTTACCGTCACAGGGCACCTGGCTTTAGAATGCACGTTCCTATTTCGAGTCAGAAACAAGCTATGTCTGAGGAATCTGGCCTGTTTAGGATGATGTTGGGTTTCTGCGGGCTACTCAGAAGGCATTTGGCTTATCTTTTGATGGCTTATGCACTTCTGAAGTGTGTAAGAAAATAGCGTTCTGGCATTGGTGCCAGCCATGTGTGTAAGAAATTAAGGCTTTGACTACCTGAAACCTCAGTGTGTTTTTTTCTTCCCCCCAATCAAAGACAAACATTTGTGGTTTAGGCTTGTCTCAAGCGAAGAATATGGAAGATTATATGGTAGTTGGAAATTCATTCGCGATTGGGGGTAGGAAAGGAGTTGCAGTGTTTTTTGGCACACGACGATAAGTTCATCTCGGGGTTTATCTTTTAAGAGGACCTTAGGACATTTGGTAAATAAATACGTTTGAAGAGGGTCTGAGGCAGGCCTACCTGATAGCAAATTCTGTCTAAAAACAAGGACGGTTATATCAGGGTTCCAGAGTACTTAGATTTTTAGATAAATCATGTCCATATTGTATGTATGCATAGTAAGAACTGTAAAAATAAGCTTTCCATCAGTGCTTTTTCCTGTATTTCATATAAGGAAAGAATTTTACGTAACTCCATAACCTTTCAGGATTCCTTATTGGTTCAGTAATAAGGAAGAATTTGTCTTTCCTAGATTCAGTGCATATGGAAGAGATCAGCCAATTTTGAATAAATCCGTAAGTGTTTGCCAGCTCTGACCAAGACACCCGTGCGGGCCCCGTAGACTTCAGGATATATGCAGAATAGCTCTCTGTGGGGTGTGGAAAGATTGTGGGCTTTAGAGACAGAAAGACATGGGTTCAGATTTTGCCTCAGCTTCATGCCAGCTGTGTGACCGTGGGTCTTGTTAGAAGTGTATCTCTAATAACCTATTAAAATGTATCAGCCTAGCCAGTTTTGCTCAGTGGATAGAGAGCCAGCCTGCCAACTAAAGGGTCCCGGATTCAAGTCTGGTTAAGGGCACGAACCTTGATTGCAGGCTCCTCTTTGGCCTGGGCCCTGGTTGGGGCGCCTGCAGGAGACCATAAAATCAATGTGTTTCTCTCACATCACTGTTTCTCTCTGTCTTTCCCTCTCATTTTAACTCTCCCCAAAAACTCAATGGAAAAATATTCTCCGATAAGGATAAATAAATAAAGTATCATACTTGGAAGGTAGCAATTCCCAATGTAAGATAGGATTTAAATAAATTCTCAATATTACTTGGCTTGGTATTAAATGGACAGATTTAGTTCTCAATAAAATTTTGACATTTTCAAATATAGTATTAAGTATATTTGAACTCCAAATCAGTTAAATAACCTTTTAAAGATCTTAGCATTAGTTTGGTAATAACCTGATTTTTATTGAATGAGACCAGTTTTAGCAATTAAACCAAAACTTTATTTTCCTGAGTTAAGTATACAAATTAAAATTTTTTTAAAGGACTTTATTTCAATGTTAAAATGTGGAAATGTCCTGCCAGTTTACTGGTTCTGAAAAACACTGTTAATTTTAGATACGCCTATATGGCTCTTTTGGAATTACATTTTAGGACTAACATTTTTCTTAAACAGCTAGCATGAGATCACAGGGAAGTAATGGTCATGCCTCTCTCTGGTGACAATCCCAAGGCCCTGGCAAGTTGAACAGCCTCTGGATTGGCCTGGTGGCCAGAGAGACATTAAAATGTAGGTCTCCGGACCCCTCGTCCACTGCTCTGGGAAGCAGAGCCCCATTGGGAAGATGCCTTAGATAGTTATACCAGTGACATTAATGATAGTAATCGGAATCTCAATAATAGGTTATGCTAATTGTGTATTAGACTCTCTGCTAAGCACTTGACCTGCAATACTGCATACCACTACATCTTACCCACAACATATCCCCATTTTCTAGATGAGAAAACTATGACTTTATACAAATCAAATAACTTCCTCGAGATGGCAGGATTTATAAGAATCCAAGGCTAGCTTTGAACCCAGGTCTGACACGTGAGCGACTGACTATGTGTAGCACCAAATAGTCACTCAGCCAGCAGAGAGGCACCGCTGGGACACGGGGGGTCTGCTTCATCTTTATTAGCTTTCACGAGGGAAAGCGATGTGCCCCACATTTAGAAAGCATTTTTCTGCCCCAAAACAGGTCTCCAGAACTGTGAGTGAAAATCAGGATCAGCTACCATAAATATTTGCATAAAAAAGCATCCTTGTGTGGTGGACAAACAGGTCTTAGCTGGGCGCTTTGGCCATTAAATCATCAAGAATATTCACATTTTTATTTCCTCAATATGGAATGCATTAAGACAACAGTGATTTTACAGGCATTTATCTTTATGTACTTTCTGCACATTTTCTTTATCTCTGCCTTTGCCTCTCCTTAAAGCTGATGCCTCCCAGGCACTGTAATTCATAAAACGTGTGCTGGGACTTGACTCCATCCCAGCTCTCTGCCTGCCTGTGTCTTGGTCCAGCAGCAGAGCACAGTCTGGGAAATGTCTGAGCCCCAGCCTCAGCCCGGGCCCCGGAGGAGTTTGGGGGTGGAGATCAAGAGGGGAAACATCTTGGGAAAAGGAGCGCGCAGCCTTGGCCTGTCTCTCCGGAGCCTTATCTGCTGCTGTAAAAGCTCCGTGTAAATCCTGACCACGCATCTTCCTCGTCTCGTCAGGCAGCCCCATTCACGTTGGGCAGTATCTTCCTTGGCTGGCTCAGGCTGCCAAAATAATACCTCATAACGTTGGGAACTAAAGATTTCTTAGCCATGTGACATATATCTCCATTTTGGAGTCACGGAGGAGTGTTTGCAATTAAGTTTGTGATTTTGAAAACCAAGAAATGGAACTTGAACTAAAGTTGTGGTCTCTGGTCTGTAATGTGACCTACCAGAGTGAAATGGCCTCTTTTTCAAGGCAGCGAGTTTCCAAAACATCCCAGAACCTCAGTCCTGTGCAGCGAGAGGTACGGGGTGAGAGTAATGCAATCACTCTGACACGGGCCTGCTTCGCACTCCAAGGGCGTCCCTGTTTGTTTTCTGTTTCGTTCATCTTCCCACTTTCGATTTTCTCCATAATGTATATCATACATTCCAAACCACACATGCCCGGCACTTACATGGATGCCTCTACCTCTTCAATCCCACGTGAGTGATGCTTTTCATCAGCCACTAAAGATTGTGCCTTTCAAAGTTCATATTGCTCCAGTGTGGTCCCTATGCGCAGTTCTGCCGTAAGCCGGACTCCGGATCCTGATGGTTCCAGCAGGGAGCTGCCGCCTGGGGCCGCAGGCTGCTCTGGGAAATCTGGCACAAGGTGGGCAGGAGGCTTGAGTAAGCCCCTGAAAACTAAGGTCCTTATCCAATCACCGATGCTAGATAGCATGTGGCCTACACAACCGAGTAGCTAACTGAACGTTAGAGACAGTGAAATAGATGGCCTTTCTGTACTGGTGCCCATCAGGGTCTTGCAATTTTTATTAGTTTCAGATAATCCTTTTGGTGCCTTAGGGCAGTGGTTGGCAGACTCAGTGGTCAACAGAGCCAAATATCAACAGTACAACGATTGAAACGTCTTTTGAGAGCCACATTTTTTAAACTTAAACTTCTTCTAATGCCACTTCTTCAAAATAGACTCGTCCAGACCATGGTATTTTGTGGAAGAGCCACACTCAAGGGGCCAAAGAGCCGTATGTGGCTCTCGAGCTGCAGTTTGCTGACTGCAGCCTTAGGGGAAGGAGAGAGGTGAACCCAGTCTGCCAAACAAGGAGGGGGCAAGGTGATTTCTGGCATCTAACCCGTGGGAAGGAATCAGGCAGGTGCCCTTTCATGTAATTATCTTAACTATGGTAGGGGCTTGGCTGTATTTGTCTAAACTTTAGACTCTAAAGGACAGGGATTGCCCCAGTCAAGCCATCAGTCACACCCTTCCCCAATGTGGAGAGGAGGCTGGCTCCCTGGGACCCACTCCAAAGATAGAACATCACAACAGAAGCCCAGACGGCACGCCATTATCTGGGTCGGGACCAATGCCACCTGATGTTAGGACAATGAGGCATCACTTCAGATGTCCACAAGCGCCTCATCTAAGATTGAGAAGTAGGCTATGATTTTTTTTTCTCTCCTAAATTTGTTTAATAATGTGCTGACATACCTCCTTTGATTCCTTTCAGAACTCTTTTCACAAAATGTAAGCATAAGTTTTATTTATTTATTTTTAACGGTGATAGCCTGTTTAGAAATCTCTTGGTACATGGAAGAAACTCGAGACCAGTTCTCTTTGTTTTGGTATAAACTCATCTTCCTAAGTAATTTCCATTTATGTTTGTTGTTATATTTGCAGAACTTTCTTTAAAATAAGTGGCAGGTGGTTTTACACCATTCCCAACAGCCTTGGGGGGAAGGTCATGGATATCATGGATCCTTTGAGAATTTGATGAAAAGTAGGAACCTTTAGAAAAATCAATGAAATCTTAAATGCTGGCTTGCTATTTTGGTTTAGCATTGCCTACAGCTTGGCCATGCATTTCAACTTGATGCACCTCTGACCCAGGAGAATTGGAAACAGCAGCTGGGGCCAGTATCCCCACCATCCCCATGCTGACCATGGCCTGACCCACCTCTTATTATTGAGCAGTTGTGCGATCATGATTACAGAATACTCTGCAGGGGGATTTCAGTTACAGGAATTACCAGATCGATGCTTTCACCATGTACTTAATCTTGAATTTTTCTCTTCCATGTTTATCGTGACAGTCAATGCTGTTTTCACTGGAGATGTTCTTGTTTAAGCTTTCTCCTGAGGATTTGTTTTGTTTTTCCTTCCTGTGCGAAATGCTTAAAGCTACTTCCTAGTAGTAGAGAATGGTGGGGTCCCCCTGAGTAGATAGCTGGTAAATCC